CTATTACAATAAGCAAGAAACAAAAAATAGTATTTGGGAATAGATTAACTCAACTAGTGTGATTCAAGATGCTTGCAGCTAAGGCATCTGCACTTATTTCCACTTAGGAAGCAGCAGATGCCCAGGCACCTTCATCACTGAAAACATACCAAACCTCTCAGAAACTTCTGAAAGATCAATTAAAACAAATCTTCAGGTCTGCAATACAAAAATCTGGCAGCATAACCTTCAAAATTAACACCTCAGATGTCACAGACTGAGAATAACTGCTCTAGTCAGTTGGCTTGGCAAATCTGCAATTAGAATGCTCTCTGCAGCCCCTTATAAGCAAAAGAGAAGGAGCAGGAGGTCATTTTTGAACAAATATATCAAGAAGATAAAAAAATTCCCTTAAGGAATCAGTGAAAGTCAGATTCATAGTCTCAAAGAAGGCACTGGAAATAGGACAAAGAAAATCCCAGTATTTAATTACCTGAAAGCCACAATATGTGGGGGGAAAGGGAAAGGGAAAGGGAAAGAGTAATATGAAATTTTGTGGGGTAAAAAAACCCTGGGGGTATGACAGAGACTGTATAACATCAGTAAGTATGTCCAAAACAATCTGTGCTCTTATTAATCATAATTCTACAATGACAAAAAGACCGTCTTTTGGAGTGAAAACAGTCATCACTGTCACATGCTCCATTATGGAAAGGATTTATGTGGTTTCCTCTTAGCAATGTAAACCAGTGCTTGAAAAGTTCCACGTGTTTTGCTTTTCAAAGCCCTCTTATGGCAACTACTGGCCATTACAGTGCTGATCTACATTTTAAAATGTCAAGAAATACTGAAAGAAAGGAGTGTTGCTCCACAGTGTTTCAGTATAACAAAGAGCTGAAAGTTAAATAAAGCAAAGTATAGTAGCTTTAATACAGAATTGAAATAATGGGTCACTTTCCTTTGCTTTAATGTTGGCAGTTCATACCAAAATTTCTTGTAATACCTTGCAGAAACTATAACCACATCATATTCACAGCAAATCCCCTCTTCTTACCTCAAATCACTGTTCTGTATTTGAACCAAAATTTGGAATCAAAGCCCATGTTAATAGTTCTGAGCTGAATTTGTACCATTTTTATGAATTTTATTTTAAATCAAGGCTCTCTTCAGGGAGATTGATACATTACAGTCTCCTATGATTGCTAAAATGAAAAATATGCCCTATCTCTCATCCTCTTTGATTTCAAGTGAACAAAAGGCCATGGGTACCCACCACTGCTGCATTTATTTTCATCTGTTTTGCTTAAACAAGCAATTATTTTATTTTCATCAGCGATTTCATTAGCACAGACCTACTTGTATCTTCAGTGTAATAAATGCTCCATAAAAGCAAATTCTACTTCATATCAAACCAGTCAAGACTTTTCAAGCTACTACTTGATACACAAATATAACACCACATACCATTGAACCTGCTCACCTTTTTCTTATTTACTTGTAGAAATAGCCTGTCTATCTGCTCAAAGAGACATCTCAAAAAGAGGGCTGATTTACAGGACATATTGATAGAGTCACACTTTGCTAATGACCAAACATAATGAAGTTACATTTTTAATCCTGGTAGCTCCATTAGGCCACTTTAAAGAGGAACTGAATTTATTCTACATTTCACAAGACTTTCAAAATGTGCAGTATTTCCATTTGTCAAATGGCAAGTTTTCAAGGCAATCCCTCTTGAGCCATAACAAATAGGAAGAAACATGAAAGAGTACAATAATAAAAAACCCACTTACCACAAGATCGAAGATTACATCATATTCTTAAATATTTACATCATATTTTTAAATATGTATCCACTAAAAAGAGATCTACAGGTTGAGGTCAACACTTCACAAAGAAGTAGTCAGAAGACAATGTTTGTTGCAATGCTACTTGCTATAATACAAAATACGAAATAACCACCTGTAAATTATTCTTTGGGTGGGACCTTTTAACCATGGAGAGATACAAACATGGAAGTGTGAATTTTGGCCTCAACTAAAAGGAATAGTAATGAATCTAGAAATATGTACCATAAAAGTAGAGCCTCCTTTTTCTTCTACACACTTTCAACAACACTTTTATCAAACCACACTGCTAACAAAACAGAGAATGCTTTTCTCACAGAATGGTTTAGGTTTGAAAGGATCTTTAAAAGTCATCTAGTCCAATCCCTCCACAATGGCAGACTTCTTCAACTAGATCAGCTTATTTAGTGCCCCATCCAACCTGACCTTGAATGTGTCCAGGGATGGGACATCCACCACCTCTCTGTGCAACCCGCTCCAATGTTTCACCCACCTCATTATGAAAAATGTCTTCCTTATATCTAGTCCAAATCTGTTCTACTTCAGTTTAAAACCATCAAAACAGGTCCTATTAAAAACTCTGTCCTCACATTTTTTTATAAGCTTGCTTGAAGTACTGAAAGGCTGCAGCAAAGTGTCTTCAGAGCCTTCTCTTCTCCTGGCTGAACAACCCCAACCCTCTCTACTAATAGTGAAGGTGCTCCAGCTCTCTGATAATTTCTGTGGCCCTTCCCTGGACTCCCTCCATCAGGTCCCTGTCCCTCCTGTGCTGGGACCCCAGAGCTGGTGCAGCACTGCAGGTGGGCTCTCAACAGAGCAGAGGAGCAGAATCCCCTCCCTGGCCCTGCTGCCCACCCTGCTCTGGATGCAGCCCAGGACACGTGTGGCTTTCTGGGCTGGGAGTGCCCATGGCTGGGTCATGTCCAGCCTCTCATGCCCAGGACCCTTAAATTCCTCTAAGCAAGTATGATGATTGTGAGTGTGATAAAGAATCTGTCTTTAACATTGCTCATTAATCTTATGAATAAACTTATCATTTCCTAGATTCTCCCTGGCAGTCTTCATTGAAATCCTTAAATTGATTCTTAATCCCACAAAATGTGAAGAACTTTCTTGGAGAGAGTTCTTGATCATAAAATGTGTGTCCCCTGCTCTGTCCCACCAAGCAAAAAGAGGGTCTCCCAATGCCAGAACAGCACCTGGGGCAGTGAGAGGCACTTCTCCAAGCAGACATGTCCTCCAGAGCTGAAAGTAAATCACGTTATAATCATGCATTCATATTATAGCTACCAGTGCACAGCAGGACTCCCAGTTCCAAAGGACTTGGAAGCTGTGCAGGGAGATCTGACACAGCACAGCTCTCTGCAAGAGATGCTCAACTGCGGACCCTTGCATGTTTCTTTTCAACCATGTTCTAATGTCTGTTCTGAAATACACCACCTGCAAAAGCACTAAACAAAATATAGAAAAACCAAATTATTTGACATGTTGCTTCCCTTTTCTTGCCTTTTTAAAATGTTTTATGGTTATAACATTTAGTTTTTGAAACTGGGTCCTTATTGCATGCAATGTTTTATGCCCGTAAAGAATAAATGCATGAAGTAAAGAGAAACACTGAAAAGACCGAAATCACTGGCCTCTGTCCTGCCTGATTTAAGTCCAATTTCCATGCATTTTGATCATATTAAATTTAAGTCCTGGAAGTTTAAACTGTCAATTAATTCAAAATAAGTCCCATTAGATAGGGTAGGCATTTGATTCTCCTGATTGTTTGACTCTTGTTGAAATATACCTGCAACTGATTGCAAGATAATCACTGTTAAAAAACAGGTACATTGTCACTGTTCAGAAAAATAAATGCTTCATAAACAAAAATTTAAAAAGTCTCTTTAGTTCATGCATACCTTGTAATTCTAGCTCAGATGTATTTAGTTTTATTCCACAATGTACTGAATAAACATTACTGAAATAACTCTACCAAATCCCAGCCTCAGCAAAGACTGAATTTTTTCCATATGGAATAAAAACTCTGGTATAGTTTTCCTTATGTCTTTGCTTACTTTCAGTTCTAAATATAAAAACCTTGCAAACAGAAATAGGCACACACTAGTTATCAAATCCTGCTAGAGCCAAAACCTGGACAGAAATGTAACATCATAAGGCAAACAGGCCTGGAATCAAAATTAAATTTCAAGATTCTGAGTGCTATAGGAAGCAGCTGCTAAACTCAAAACATGTAAATGCATTTTCATCAAACTTTGATTAGTTCTTTTTTTTGTTTTGCTTGTCTGTTTGTTTTAGTTGTTTTTGTTGCATTTGAAGTGTTCACAGAAAATTAATTTGCCATTTTGACAGCCCTTATATGTAAAGCGTGGACAAAAGAACAACCATTGAAAGGCTACTTCCCACTTCCAAGCAAGCGAGAGTAAATATGTTTCTGAAACCCAGCCAAGCAGCTGTATTTCAAAAAGGTTGCTTCATTCTTAATTTGGAAACAAAGGAGACTGCTTTGCAATGTATTATTTACATTACTTTAATAATCTAGAAACCGGATCATATGCCTGTACATACAAAAACTTAGATTGCAATTTGGTTGACTAGACTGCTCAACAAATTTTCAGCTGTTTTATTAACAGGCCTTTGTTTCATGGGACTAAGATGCCAATGAAATACTTCAAGAATGACAAAAACTACATGACAACTTAAAATAAGGGAGAGAAACAGTTTTGGCTTCAAAATTGCTTGCTGTCTGGCTGTTTGTGCTTCATGCAGCACATGACAATTCACAGACAGGGCAGACAGCTTCAGAAGAAATAAATCCATAGACAGCTCTCACCAAGGATTCAATTCTGACAGATCCTCAGAAACTGCAGTGTCAAGTAGGATGCTTCTAACTCTACTACACTTGCCAGATTTTACAAAGGTATTTTTACACCACCAGGAGCATCCCCCATGTGCACAGATACAACTTTACAGTTTGTTTTGTCAAGCTTGAGAAAGTCCTAAGAGAAGGGAGAGAAATCGTTGTTCCACTTAAACTTCTGCTCAACTTTCATCATTCTTATGTCATTAGAAAATACCCAGAAAAAAGAATGAGGGGCCAGATGTCTCTGTAGTCAGCTTGTTAGACACTGTACCAAAGTTATTACTGAAAGAATAGCTGAAGGAACTTACCAGTAGAGAAAACAAAAACGGTGTTGTCCCAAAGACCGTAAGTTTTCAGAGCATCAGTAAGATTTCCTACAGCTTCGTCCATAAGAGTCACCATTCCCGCGTAATGGCGCCTCTTTACATCTTTTATGGAAGAATATGGTTTCACATATCTTTCAGGGACCTCGAGAGGTTCATGCACAGACTGAAAGGCGAGGTAGAGAAAGAGGGGCTGGGGTGGAAGGGACAGAATGGAAATTAGTTGAACATAAAGCACTATTTGCAAAAGTTACTGCTGCAAAAGCAGACCTCTTTTATTAACAGTGCAGATAGTGCCTTTTGATTTCTTCTACAACTTCTAGATCTTCTAATCCCTATGCATAAACTAAGAAAGATTTGAAAAATTCCTTTTGAAAAGGTGGAAAAGCATAAGGTGTATCTTTTCTTTATAACATAATGGTTAACCATTTCTTTCTGCTAAACTTCTCACCTTAAGCTTCCCTTCACTGTTTAGAAGTGCAAACTACTTGCTAAACAATTTCTAAAAATGTATTAATTGTATTATAATAGAAGAAATGGAAAAGGGGCAGGACCATGCACACAAAGCCGATTTTGGCAGCAGATGAGTTTTACCAGTGCTACTTCTCACATTTAATTCTATGCACCTATTGGATAGCCCTGAATTACAGCTCAAACACAGCTCTCTCTATTAATATTACATTTCAACTTTTTAAAAAACATTCTTTAATGCCAAAGTTATCAGAGTGGCAGCTGTTGCCTGTACCTTCTCAGTTTTGTGACTGGCTATAAGATCTATAGCTCTTTCTGTGAATAAATTTGTGGAGTACACATTTTTAAACCCAGTTGCAACTTCTTCTCCATCTCGAAAGTCCAGAGCACAGCGTGTCACATTCTTTGCTTTGATGAGGACACAGCGGTCATGAGTGTAATAATCCTCACTGCCCAGGAGATAGCCTACAACAGGAAAATATGTCACATGAGCAGGCCAACATCGTGTCACATAAACACATACATCAGGAGGAGAAAAAAGTCAAACACAAATGTCAAAACATTAGTGGCTTTGAGCCAAAACACTAATTCAACCCTGGACCACCTACTATGAGACCTCTGACATGTCTAAGTAGCTCCACATTTAATACCTCATAGGCTTTTCATTGCTAATGCCAGCATTAATTTCAAAAGAAATTAAACATTTTGAAAGCAGTTTAATGACTTCTTATTTGTACTTTGATGTCTATGAGGACTAAACTAATGCACTGAGAGCCAAGGCAGTGATCTAGCCATAAACTAGTCTGATTCTTGGTGGTATGATTTCTATGTTTGTATTTTGATGTAGGGCTTCCACCTCTATTGGAAAGTTTGGGATTTTAAAATTCATTTCTTCAAAAACACCCAAGTATGAATCATCTTTTGTCTGCTGTAATGTAATTTCTGATCCACTGCTGACACCAGCTGGTGAAGAAAAGACACTATCATTTAGAGATATCCAAAAGAAATTAAATAAAAATCCTGCATGTATAGATTTGCTCCTACCTAGGCTCCTGTTAGGTATGGAGAGCCCTTGTGTTTTAGCAGGCACAAATAAAACTTTTCAAAGTAATTTGAATCTCAAAAATTATATTTGAATTTAGATTTTAGATTTCTTCCCCAATATCCTGAAAAAAGGGATGAATCTGAAAAAAGAAGTCTTATGTTCTGCAAAAAAAAAAAAAAAAAGAACTTGGGACAAAAATCTAAGACTGAAGAAATTTATTTGAACTTTTTGTTTAGCAGATGCAGCTAGTAATTTCTGCAAAAAGAAATGTACAGAAAAAATGAAACTATCTTAAATAAAACACAAATGTCTACTACATTTTTAGGATAATAAAATGGCTAATTTTTCAGAAGATAAAGTGATTTTATAGGCAGATTGCTTACATCAATGTACTCAGAGGCACATGTTGCATTTTTTCCACTTTGAATGCCCACTGGTCGAGAGTGCATCAAGTGTGCCACAAAATCAAACACCCCTAAGCATAATGGATGCCTACTGGAATCGCATGAACATTGCAGGATATTAAACCACTATATCCTCTGAAAAATAATGTCACATTGGGCACCTAAAAACCATACCCAGAGCCAGCCTGTCCTCAGGCTCCTGCATGAAAAGCCTGCTCAGTCCCAGGGTGAGATTTCACAAGGAACAGCAGCCTATCACACCCATGCCATCAAAGAGATCCCAAACTCCTGTGAAGGTATGGGAGAAAGCACAAATGCTTAAGCAATGAGCCATTATATTCCAATCCACATATATTAGCTTAATTCAGTTGTGAAACCATGGCCCTGAGCTACCTGAAGAGTAAAAGGAAGTAAACCACCTAAGGGAACATTTTTTCCCACCTCACGTTTGGACAAATATAGTTTATAAAAGGTACACACATAGCACAGTTATACTCTTCACTTAAGCCTCAGGTTAGACAAAGGCAACACAGGCTTCTACATTAAAATGAACTATTTTGAAATTCATCACTCAAGGAGAGTGTCTTTAAAACAACCAAGTGGAGATGGACCTCTTTGAGCTCGGTACTGTGCAGAATGAGATGTACATCAGACAGCCTAAGTCACATAACCTCCATGACACTTGTGCAAAACTGGGATAGGAGCATAAACCACACTTGGAACAGTAAACAATGGGTAGCTACAAGTTGCTCTGCAAGTAACGCACTCACACTTGGACAATCTACTGTTCAGTCTGAGAGCTTCACTTCCTAAATTGTGAGTTTGTGGATATAACTTTATAGAAGCTGTCATACCATCTCACTACGAGCTCTGGAAAACCAAAGCTACACAAAATGCCTGTAACCCCATTCCCTACTCCCCTGTGCTGTTGTAGGTAGGAGACAGAGAATTCAGAGTAAAAACTTAACTCTGGGAAGGAGGGGGGGTGATGTAAAATGGTAAGAGAGAAATACCTTACTTGGAGCCACACAGTAATTCTGATACTTTCTTCAGAAGTTTTAAAGTTTGAGCATGCATTTAAGGCATTATCATTTTTAAGCAGTGATACTTTGGAAATGTGCATACCTAGGCATGGCTTCACTTATAAATCACAGTAAATCTGCTGCTGTTATAAGAAGGAGGCAGTTTCTCATCCTTTTCAACACTTCAGTTATTGCAGTTTGATATTAAATCAAACTATTACCAAAGTAAGTGTCAAATCCTCTGTGCGTTGGAAGGCATTCTTTTCTGTACATCCCCAAATGCCACTTCCCCACCATGTGAGTAACATATCCCGCCTCTTGAAGTAGCTCTGGGAGGAGTTTCTCATCCAGTGGCAGACAACTGGGCTGGCATGGCCAAATTATCTGGTGTTGTAAACCTGTGTGGATCTAGCAGAGAAAACAAGCATGAGAGATTACTTGAAATGTAGCCCAGAGGTTAATTTATAAGCACGCCAAAAAAGAAGCACAGCTGCATTCGAGATTATTTTTAGGAACTCTTCATTTTACCAATGCAGCACTGAAGATGATGAGGAAGCTGCAGGTGGAAGGCAGGGGTTTCATGGAGGAAAGCATGAAAATAACACTGCAAGAGTTAACATCTTCCCAGGATTAAATCAAGCACAATTAAAAAGCCCCAGAACAAACAAACAAACACAAAACCTTTTATGCTTTTTGCTAGAAATCTACTAAGTAGGAATTACCATTATGGTCTGTTTGAGGGCTAGGGACGTCTCAAGATGGAGTGAGAGATTTTAAATGGGATTGAAATGGGCAAAAGTGAACATGGCAGAAGAAGCTATCAAGTTGTTGCCTGTATCAGAGAAGAGTCACTGGAGGAAATGTCAATAAAAGAAAACTATTTTTTATATTACTTTTCTAAATGGACATTATATACAAATTAAATGAGTACAAGCACTAGAAAGCATCTGGATATGGGGATGACACGAGCTTCACACTACTAGATATGATATTTAATAGTTTTACTAGAGTTTCCAGTCATATTAAGTGGTGAATTTTGTATTTCTTTACAAAATCATCACTGATAACAATACTTTGAGTAGTATGTCATGCTTGATATAAGGAACCTCCTCAGTTACTGATACTAAAAGCTGACTTTCATCAGCTTCTCTGTCTTCTCCACAATCAAAAAGGCACTTCCCTAAACCTAGACCTGCATATGTATACAAGTATATATATCTTGTTTATATATTAAATATTTCTAGCAATCTGTGTGTGTCAAAACACAAAGCCTCCAAGATATTCTGGAGCAGAGGACACCAGATTTTATGACTCCACTAAGCACACCAGTGTAGCACTGCATGACTAACTTTCAAAGCATTGCTTTAGCAACTCTCTGAACTGACTTTTAAAACAAATAACCCATGATCTTAGGCAAGTAGGTAAGGCCCTTTTCTAAAGGGCCTACTACTTCCTCATTTTCTTGGAACAGAAGGTTCAAAAAATTAAATTATAGTGTAGATTTTCTATTATATATAAAATATTTAAAAATACTTTATTACAGAAAGCATTAATATACCAAATGCACAACCTAGCAGAGCATTGTAATTTCTTGCACTGTATCTGGAAAATGAGAAAAAGGAGAAGGAGGCAATAATTTAAAAAAAAATCTATAGCTATCTTAGACCAATACCACTGCTTTTCTTTCAGATGGATTACAAGTCAAGATTTAGGTAACTTTCTCAAGTTTCTAATCAACTGTTAATCATATCCATGGGTAAAACAATTTTAGAAAAGATCTCATATATTTGCTGCATAATACAATTATGTGCTGCATAATTACTGCTGCACAGAATGACTCCCCTATATATATATAAAAAAAAATTTAAAAGAAAATTACTTCAATTTTCTAATATTATTTTACTCAGCTGCAATATGGTCAACACAAAGATTATTAAATCATCAAGCCAGATGTATGGGATGAATTTAAATCCAGACTGAATTACAGGTATTTTCAATGTACACTTTTATGATGTGATGCAGAAGTGGTTTCTTTCTTAGAAAGCACATTCAGATTATGAACTGTATTTTTAAAATAGTCATTATGAAAAAATAGTTTAGGTCATTTACAGAACAACTCAAGGGTTGGTAAAGATAATGTAAATTGCATTTTCCTATTTATCATTATTCATTCTTGGAGTTTTCAGGAATGAGACAAATGTTGCTTGGAAAGAGTGGTACCTAGAACAACCTTCCTGCAAGAAGAGACAGCGTCCATTAATACAAGATGACATTTATTTCCTTTCACTCAGCAGTTTACTTAGCAATCACTCTGGTTAACACGGATGTGCAGGACTTCTTGAGACAGCGGGGAAGTTTTTGAAACACACTTAACGATTTGAGAGTTTCTTCCTTCTGTCTACGCTGTGTGTCCATACTTTCTTTCCCACTCCCCATGTTTTTGCCAAAACTGCAAGAAGGATGAGAAAGGGTAGAATGATACCAGCATTATAAAGCCCAAATCTTACACCTGTAAAACTGGAGGGGAAAAAAAAAAGGAAAAAAAAGGGGGAAAACAGGATAATCACTATGAACTATTTAGGCACCCAGACTAATGACCACTCTGTGTGCACTCCATCGAGGAGCGCAGAACACCTTCACCTCCTGTACGAGGTGAAGGCGAACATACAGCTTGTGACACATTCTGGAAAACATGAATCAAAAACTGAACAAGCAATGCTCATCTGCTTCTGTCTGCACCTCGACTGGGTGTCCAGCGGAAAAATACCCAAGAGTCAGGCGACTAGGGCAAGGATATTTGCCACGGCAGGCTGCCGTATCTGTAAATCCAACCTAAGCACAGAGCACCTCGGCTGTTCTGGAGCAGAACAATTTGCACTGCGAGCCCCAGCGGCACGGGGGCTGGCAGAAGCAAGCGGGGAGCACCCGCAGCATCCCCCGGGCAGCGCGGCAGGGGAGGGAGCGCCCGCCCTACCTGGTAGCGGCCCGAGAGGAGCTGGCTGCGGGACGGCGTGCACAGCGGCTGGGTGTAGTAGCGCTCCAGCCGCACGCCGCCGGCGCCCAGCGCGTCCAGCCGCGGCGTGCGGACGGCGGAGCCGTGCCAGCCCACGTCGCCCCAGCCCAGGTCGTCGGCCAGCACCAGCACGAGGTGCGGGGCGGGCGGGCGCGCCGCCGCCGGCCGCGGCAGGCACAGGGGCAGGCACAGGGGCAGGCACAGACACAGCAGCCGGCTGAAGAGCAGGAACGGCGCGCCCGCCCGCCGCGCCATCCCCGCCACACGGAACTGGGCCGCGGGCACCGCCCCGAGCCGCGGCCCCGCCCGCCCGGCGAGGGGCGGGCCCCAGGGCGGGCCGGGAGGGCGGGGCCGGGAGGGCCGGGCCGCGCTCGGTCTCCCGGGGCGGTGCAGGGAGGGCAGGGCCAGCTCGGGCACCCGGGGCGGGGCCGGGAGGGCCGGGCAGCTCGGTCTCCCGGGGAGGGCCGGGCCGCGCTCGGGCACCCGGGGAGGGCCGGGCCGCGCTCGGTCTCCCAGGGAGGGCAGGGCCGGGCTCGGGCACCCGGGGCGGTGCAGGGAGGGCCGGGCCGCGCTCGGTCTCCCGGGGCGGGCCGGGCCGGGCCGCGCTCGGTCTCCCGGGGCGGGGCAGGGAGGGCCGGGCCGCGCTCGGTCTCCCGGGGAGGGCCGGGCCGCGCTCGGTCTCCCGGGGCGGGGCCGGGCCGCGCTCGGTCTCCCGGGGCGGGGCCGGGCCGCGCTCGGTCTCCCGGGGCGGGCCGGGCCGCGCTCGGTCTCCCGGGGCGGGGCAGGGCCGCGCTCGGTCTCCCGGGGCGGGGCCGGGCCGCGCTCGGGCACCCGGGGCGGTGCAGGAAGGGCCGGGCCAGCTCGGTCTCCCGGGGAGGGCCGGGCCGGGCCGCGCTCGGTCTCCCGGGGCGGGGCAGGGCCGCGCTCGGTCTCCCAGGGGCCCGGCGGGGCGGCTTTACGCCGGTGGTTTTTGTATAGGCATAAAAAAGAAATTGTAAAGCTACTGCCGCTGTTCGCAAGGTATGCAGCCCGCTGATGCTGGCGGTCTCTTCTAATTTTGTTTTGTTTCCACTCCTACATTGAATACCCGGTTTAGACCTCGGAGTCTTTTCCAGGGGAACCGGGAGCAGGCTCGTGTCTCAAGCCATCTGTGGTTTTAGGGAAGTCAGTACAACATTAAGAGCACAGGATCGAGTGCAATCTCCCAGACTGTCAGTCCTGCCTTTTGTGCTGCCCGCAGAGCTTACGTGTGTAAGCACAGCAGGGCAGCTGCAGCACACACACGGCCTTGCTGCTGGCCAACGCGCAGGACGGAAAAACAAGTCGGAACCATCACTGAAGATGCAGCTGAGCCGAGCGAGGCGGCGATTATTCATTCCTGTTGGAGAAAATCTGTCAGCATCAGCTGCTAGTGAACACACACACCCCCACATACACACATGCGTAAGAAAAAGACCAAGTGTCTTCCCTCGCCCTTTAACCCCCAACTCCCTTCAAAATCATAAGCAGCCCGGTGCTTTTTTCTCTCCATTTCGACCATTCAGGTGAGAAGCCTAGATCGAGGTCTGGCTGTAAGATGGTGCTCGTGACTGTTATATGTAGGAAGGAAGTGAAGTAACACAGAAGCAGTAATAGCAGCAATGTCAACAGGACAGTTTCTTCAAACCATGTAATTGTCTAAAGCAATATTGCAATCTACATAGTTATAATCTTGATGTAAAACCTAAGTGAGTGAAATGGCATAAATAGCTGTCAACTCTGGTCAATTTTGTTCATCCATGGAATACACATAAAATTCAGTGTGCAGTGGAAGATCAGCCATATATTTCCCATTTAGCTGGAATGGTTAATATGTGTATTCCCAAGTTTATATAGCCATTTGGTAACAGGCAAAAGAACAGTCCACATTAAAATTTGTTTTTCTTGGCTAGAAAGCCAAATATTGAGTATACTGGACTCCTGACTATTTCCTGACAAGTATCTGTAGGAAGAAAGTTTCTGCTTGTTTTAATGAAGTCTAGTAGATAAGCCTATGAAGCTACCAGGCTGGGTTTTTTAAAATCCCACACGTTTCCCTGCTGGTTTGAAAACAGCAGCTATGGTGAGTGATATCAGCTTTTTTCCTGCAATGAGAATGTACTACAATCTACAGTCAGTACTGGAACACAGAACACGAAGCAACAGTACTGTCCTAAAGTCAGTTTCCTCCAAAGTAAATTCCAGGATCACTGACAAACTGGTGTGTGAATACGAGTAGTATTTTCTTTCAAGAAATGTGATTAATACTGTTTAAAAGCTGCAAGGTTCTGTTTTCTCTTGTTTCTAGTTCAGATCCCATGACCAGTCTCAAATGTCTCACTGAACTGTTTCTTGTCCTAACTTCTTCCATGTCCTTATTACAGTTTGAAGTTTCATCCAAATGTTAGCACATTCCCACAGAAACCCTTTTTCTTCTCTCAAACTAAGTACTTTGAAAATCTGCACAGTGCTGGTGAAACCAGAAATTTTGAAGCAAAATTAATAATTTCTATTCACCTTGTTTTCAAAGTTATCATGGTGATCAAATGTAGCTGAATTCATATTTTCTTGTAGAGAAGCATCAAGAGTTATATATACTGGTTATCCTATTCCACTAGAACTGGATAACCTTGTTGCCTGGCCACAGTTAAAACATTACATTGAACTGTCTTAAATATATACTGCAGATACTGCACAGTCACACTCTGGATATTGCTGCCTGTCATATTTTCTAGTATTTTCAGTTTTTTATTTATTTTATTATTAGTTGAGGGAATTGGAACCTCAATCAGAAAAAACTATTTCTCTCAGACAGTATTCTCTTATATCAAATGAATAAATCCAGGAAATGGTCTATGTTTAGTCTCTAACATTTCAGTTTGTCTTTTCTGAATTTGAGGATGAATAATTTGGATGTTTCTTTGGGATCAGTGATTAAAGAAGTCATTAATGTGACACACAAGGTTACAGTATCAGTGTGGATTTATTATGCCATAAAAACTGGACTTTTTGCCATAGTACATGGAAACTTGGAACAAAAATTCAAATGCTCTACTCTGGTGTGCAAAAACTCTGGAGATGGAAAAATATAGGAAATCTGAGAAAACTGCTATTTACATATCCTGATTTGAGTACTTCAGAAAATTTCTTAGATAACTGTCATTTTTTCACCTCATTGCATATATGTCTTCTCTGTTAGCTGATGAGGTTGAGAAAGACTCTAAAGAAGTCTCTACCAATCTTTCTACACTGGTACTTCTGTTTGATTGGTTAGAAGCCCTCTTAAAACTCAATACTTAAACATTCTTGCTCTTATTCACTTCCTCTTGCTTTGTCTTGGCACAAGTTTAGGCAACACCATATCTCAATCTGTAACGAAGTGACGGGAAACTACAATAGCTTCTGAACACATCCCCCACCTCATTTCTTCAGGTTTATGTACTTCTAATTTGTGTTTGTTTTTTAATAACTTTAAAGGATTGACTTATATATGTGAACCTGTATGTGGGCATCATTTGTAAAGCTTTGTCTTGGTACTGTTTCATTTATCCGTGCTGCGCAGAATGCAATGTTGAACTGTTCTGATGAATATTCAGTCAGCTGACTTGGGTATCAGAGAAGTAAAAAGAGGCCAGGTCAACTAGGAAGTACTTACAAACTGTGCTATCACAGCTACAGCACCTCTAATTCTCAGCAATCCTTGCTTAAAAATATTTCTAATGTCTCTGTTCCTGAATTCACGGTTAAAGTGAAAGCACAGGCCTTCTTAAGAAGTAACAGAGAGCAACAAGATTTTTAATTTGCCTTACATGTGGTCAGCGATTAATTTGAAGTTGTTTTAGTCTTGTAAGTTGACTTCAAGAAAGAAACTATATTGCCTTGACCCAGAAACATTGTTAGTTTATCTAAATCTTGAAGGTAAAAGATATTCAAAACAGTACAATGTAATGTCAGCTTACTTCATCAAGAGTGAGTATTCAGTACTCAAATCGTGTTTCTCCTTGTATATACTATTTATAGATTTGCTTCTTTGCTGAAGATTTAGAGATGTCAACTCCCTTGAAGAAAGTGCATTTTGGACATGATTCACACATACTTTGAAAACTTTTATCTATAGCTGAAAGGACATGGTTGGAATTAAGTTGAATTACTAAGTTGGAAATTTTAACATTGTTATTCAAAAGAATTGTTGAGAATATTATTGAATTCCAAATGAGTATTTTTGTAATTTAGTGTGTTCCCATCATACACACTATTCCAATGCTGCTTACTTGGGTTATTGAATATTTAACACTCAATAAATCTCATTTGCTGTGAATTTAATTATATTTTTTAATTGCTAATATTTCTATGTAATAATATATGGCTCATACTGTTGCTTCAATCTATAATTAACAGTAAGAAAAAACTGACCATCTTTGATGCCTGTCTAGTGGTTCATATTTAATACAGTAAATCTGTAATTTAAGCTTTGTTCAGAAATTGAACTGCTTGTTGTAGAATATTACATGTAATATGCTGGATGATTTATGTAAAATAGCGAAGAATGGGCTTCCTATAATTGTTTCATTGAGAAAAGCTAGATTTTGGTCTTCTATGAGAATTTCTGCCAGGCTGACACACAGAGAAAAAATGCCCAGAGACCAGTTTACCTTTAGTAATGTCTTTATTATTTTAATGGCTAATGGGATGTTCTTCAATTCCTTATGCAGCATTCTGTGTAGAACTAGTGACATGATTTTATGGTAAGCTTGCTATTGATGTGTAAAGAAGACAGCATAAGCTACTTTACCTCAGGGGTAGGAAAAGGAGGAACTGTGAATGTGAGGGAGGAATTTGCTATTGGACAGCATGAAGAGCACATTTCTCATATGGATTAACACAGATCTACCAGCCAATGTGGGAGCAAGTTGAATCAATGATGTACTCAATCCCTGCCACTTTCTGCTCTCGAGTGCTCCTAGGAAGCAGAACACATGGCAGCTCATCATCTCTGCTCAGTTCTCTAATGTGAACAGCACATACAGGAAATTAGAAAGTAATGCCATTGAATTTCTCACTCATGTACGGCAATGAAGATCTTGAGTTTAGTAATTAGAAAATGTGAGTAGTTTAATTATCTTAATTTTATGCATATAAATGGCACTATTTCCTACTGCACGACTTACTGTATCCTTGTCTGTGTTTATATTTTGGGACTTTCACCCTTTTTCTGAAGGCGTGTTCTTGTTGGTTCAGTCAGCACCAGTGGCTCCTGTATAATGGTTGCTGGATA